GCGTGGAAAGACACGAGGAGGGTGGGGTGTGGCGAGGTGCGTTCCTGCACGTTCCCCTTCTGCCGATCTCGCTTTTCCCCTCACACACAATGTCATTATCACTGACCGTGGCGCATTCAAGCATTCATTCAGCTTGCGTGGAAAGACACGAGGAGGGTGGGGTATGGCGAGGTGCGTTCCTGCACGTTCCCCTTCTGCCGATCTCGCTTTTCCCCTCACACACAATGTCATTATCACTGACTGTGGCGCATTCAAGCATTCATTCAGCTTGCGTGGAAAGACACGAGGAGGGTGGGGTGTGGCGAGGTGCGTTCCTGCACGTTCCCCTTCTGCCGATCTCGCTTTTCCCCTCACACACAATGTCATTATCACTGACTGTGGCGCATTCAAGCATTCATTCAGCTTGCGTGGAAAGACACGAGGAGGGTGGGGTGTGGCGAGGTGCGTTCCTGCACGTTCCCCTTCTGCCGATCTCGCTTTTCCCCTCACACACAATGTCATTATCACTGACTGTGGCGCATTCAAGCATTCATTCAGCTTGCGTGGAAAGACACGAGGAGGGTGGGGTGTGGCGAGGTGCGTGGCTGCATGTTCCCCTTCTGCCGATCTCGCTTTCCCCCTCACACACAATGTCATTATCACTGACTGTGGCGCATTCAAGCATTCATTCAGCTTGCGTGGAACGACACGAGGAGGGTGGGGTGTGGCGAGGTGCGTTCCTGCACGTTCTCTCTCTCCCTCTCTCTCTTTCCTCCTCACACACACATTCTCACTGTCACTGACTGGCGCGCATTCATTCACACACAATGTCATTATTACTGACTGGCGCGCATTCATTCGCACACAATGTCATTATCACTGACTGGCGCGCATTCATTCGCACACAATGTCATTATCACTGACTGGCGCGCATTCATTCGCACACAATGTCATTATCACTGACTGGTGCGCATTCATTCACACACAATGTCATTATCACTGACTGGCGCGCATTCATTCACACACAATGTCATTATCACTGACTGGCGCGCATTCATTCACACACAATGTCATTATCACTGACTGGCGCGCATTCATTCACACGCAATGTCATTATCACTGACTGGCGCGCATTCATTCACACGCAATGTCATTATCACTGACTGGCGCGCATTCATTCACACGCAATGTCATTATCACTGACTGGCGCGCATTCATTCACACGCAATGTCATTATCACTGACTGGCGCGCATTCATTCGCACGCAATGTCATTATCACTGACTGGCGCGCATTCATTCGCACACAATGTCATTATCACTGACTGGCGCGCATTCATTCGCACACAATGTCATTATCACTGACTGGCGCGCATTCATTCGCACACAATGTCATTATCACTGACTGGCGCGCATTCATTCGCACACAATGTCATTATCACTGACTGGCGCGCATTCATTCGCACACAATGTCATTATCACTGACTGGCGCGCATTCATTCGCACACAATGTCATTATCACTGACTGGCGCGCATTCATTCGCACACAATGTCATTATCACTGACTGGCGCGCATTCATTCGCACACAATGTCATTATCACTGACTGGCGCGCATTCATTCGCACACAATGTCATTATCACTGACTGGCGCGCATTCATTCGCACACAATGTCATTATCACTGACTGGCGCGCATTCATTCGCACACAATGTCATTATCACTGACTGGCGCGCATTCAAGCATTCATTCAGCTCGCGTGGAGAGACACGAGGGGTGTGACGAGGTGAGTTGCTGCATGCTTCCTCTCCCTCTCCCTCTTTCGTTTTTCTTCGAAGCACTGTTGCTATTACTGACTGAGACGCATTCCTTCCCTGCACCACTGCTCCCCCGGTATGCCTGCTCCCCCCCCCCCACATCACTTCCCCCTTCCGGCCCCCGACGCTTCCCCCCATCGCTCTGCTTTGCCTCCGATGCTGCGTTTCCCCAAATATCCCTCCCACCACCAGGCACTCTGTCCCTACAAGGGAAATCTCACCAGGCTGTCTCGGTTTCTCGTCTGCAACTACCACCTTCCCGCTGCTGCTCTGCTTCGCCTGTGATGCTGCTACCCCCCAACTAACCCTTCCAACAGACTCTCTGTCCCAGCAAGGCCAAATCCACCCGGGCTGCTCACTTCCTCCTCTGTATCTACCCCCCATCCGTTCTGCCATCACTCCTCATCCCCCCACCAGGCCCTCTGTCCCTACAGGGGCAATTTCACCGGGGTGGCTCAGTTTCTCGTCTGCAACTACCATCCACCTGCTACCCTTCTTTACCCTCTTCTGCTCCCATCCCTCTGCCGTCTCCCCCACCAGGCCCTCTGTCCCTACAAGGCCAATTTCACCGGGGTGGCTCAGTTTCTCGTCTGCAACTATTACCCTCCCGCTGCTGCTGTTTAGGCATTGTGGTGAGAGACTGCTACTGTTGCTCTCTTTTATGAAATTGCTGATACGCGTTACATCTGTAAAACCTCAAAATTTACTCCAATACAGCAGGCTGTCTTGTCCGCTACGTTATGCTTTTGTACTGTAAATTACATGCACCGCTGTGGCAATGCTGTACTTGTTACGTGGGTATGCGAAGATGGGTATGCGAAGATGGGTATGCGAAGATGGGTATGCGAAGATGGGTATGCGAAGATGGGTATGCGAAGATGGGTATGCGAAGATGGGTATGCGAAGATGGGTATGCGAAGATGGGTATGCGAAGATGGGTATGCGAAGATGGGTATGCGAAGATGGGTATGCGAAGATGGGTATGCGAAGATGGGTATGCGAAGATGGGTATGCGAAGATGGGTATGCGAAGATGGGTATGCGAAGATGGGTATGCGAAGATGGGTATGCGAAGATGGGTATGCGAAGATGGGTATGCGAAGATGGGTATGCGAAGATGGGTATGCGAAGATGGGTATGCGAAGATGGGTATGCGAAGATGGGTATGCGAAGATGGGTATGCGAAGATGGGTATGCGAAGATGGGTATGCGAAGATGGGTATGCGAAGATGGGTATGCGAAGATGGGTATGCGAAGATGGGTATGCGAAGATGGGTATGCGAAGATGGGTATGCGAAGATGGGTATGCGAAGATGGGTATGCGAAGATGGGTATGCGAAGATGGGTATGCGAAGATGGGTATGCGAAGATGGGTATGCCAGTATTCCTCCCAATAGCCATGTCTTGACAGAGACAAAGTCAGAGCTCCACCAGACCCCAACTCCATAACTCATAAAGCTGAGGATAGGAATAGAGGAAAGATATGGTCAGGGCTCTAGATATAGGGGCCCCAAGCACGAAGCCCATGGTTTGGTATCAAGAAGTAGAAAAATACAATTGGAGAAGTGGGGTATCGATGCCCATACCTCTCGCATGCTAAGCGAGCGCTTTACCATCTGAGCTACATCCCCGTGCTGGCTATGAGGCAATATCTTTATTCATTGTTTTTGTGCACCGTTCATGGTCATTCCCTATTTCATGTTTGCTGGCCAATGCTCACACAACCCTTTTCGTTAACAGGTCGTGTACTCCAATTCAGATGATTCCCTTCAATCTATTTCTCACTCCCATTCCTCCCCTCCCTTCTCTCCATCGCCTTAGCCACCTGCTGTGCTGCCTTGACTCCGCACATCCTTTCCTCCCCTACAGTGTACCACATGAATCCTTCATTCCAGCACCCTTTGCTTGACTCCGCACATCCTTTCCTCCCCTACAGTGTACCACATGAATCCTTCATTCCAGCACCCTTTGCTTGACTCCGCACATCCTTTCCTCCCCTACAGTGTACCACATGAATCCTTCATTCCAGCACCCTTTACTTGACTCCGCACGTCCTTTCCTCCCCTACAGTGTACCACGTGAATCCTTCATTCCAGAACCCTTTGCTTGACTCCACACATCCTTTCATCCCCTCGCCTCCCCACCTGCTGTGCTGTTTTCACTCTATCATGTACCACCTAATTTCCCTTACGCCGCTTCACCCTGCCTTCCTCCCTTCCCCTCCCCCCACTGCCTTAACCACCTGCTGTGCCACCTTCACGCGGTATTTTGTCTCGGGCCTAAGGCAAATCTTGAGCAGATGCACTACCTCCTGATGGGGGAAGATGAAGAGGAGGAAAATGGGGCAACGGGAGCTGTATCCTCTTCACTCTATACTCTGCCTCAGGCCTTCCACAGATGTTGTGCAGAGGCACCACCTCCTGATGGGGGGAAGGAGGAAGGACAGGAGGGGTGGACGGGAAGGGGGTTGACCTCCACTTCATCATCCAGTATCGTACACCAGAAATGATTTCTACTATGTTTTCGCCTGGCACCATATTTAAACAAGGAGAATGGCTCAACGATTCTAAGGTGTTGTGTTGATGTTCAATAAGCTCCAGTTGGCTCATAGGGCGAGCGAGTGTGATTACTTGTTGCAAGTTCGATTGTATGCACATATCACAATCAATGCATGCTTTCTCATTGGGTATGACCTTTTATCATAACATGCTGAACCAGAAACATGCTGAACCAGAAACATGCTGAGCCAGAAACATGCTGAGCCAGAAACATGCTGAGCCAGAAACATGCTGAGCCAGAAACATGCTGAGCCAGAAACATGCTGAGCCAGAAACATGCTGAGCCAGAAACATGCTGAGCCAGAAACATGCTGAGCCAGAAACATGCTGAGCCAGAAACATGCTGAGCCAGAAACATGCTGAGCCAGAAACATGCTGAGCCAGAAACATGCTGAGCCAGAAACATGCTGAGCCAGAAACATGCTGAGCCAGAAACATGCTGAGCCAGAAACATGCTGAGCCAGAAACATGCTGAGCCAGAAACATGCTGAGCCAGAAACATGCTGAGCCAGAAACATGCTGAGCCAGAAACATGCTGAGCCAGAAACATGCTGAGCCAGAAACATGCTGAGCCAGAAACATGCTGAGCCAGAAACATGCTGGAAGATGTGGTGAGGTTCATTTCCAAGGGGGCAAAAACAAAATCATTCAATGGAAACGGGGTATCGATCCCCATACCTCTCGCATGCTAAGTGAGCACACTACCATCTGAGCTACATCCCCATGCTGAGAAAGCGATGTATTGATTTATGTGGACCCCCATTTACCCCTGTTGACCCTTTTTGACCACCACTGACCCCCGTTGACTCACGAGGGAAAGCACTACAGCAGCAGCACAGGGGCGTGCGTGCAAGGGGAGGACTGTGGCGCATTCAGTGCTTATCTTTCAAATGTTCACCAATGTGAATTCCGTTGAAGCCCGTTGACCTCCGTTGACCGCTGTTGACTTCTGTTTTCTTGGAAGGGCAAGCATTACAGAAGCAGCACAGAGGCATGCGTGGAAGGGGAGGACATAGCGCATTCAGTTTTTGTCTTTCAAACTTTCACCAATATGAACGCCGTTGACCTCTGTTGACTCCCATCAACCCCTGTTGAGTTTTGTTCACTCAACAGGGCAAGCACTACAGCAGCAGCAGCACAGAGGCATGTGTGCAAGGGCAGACTTGCGGCGCAATTAGTGGGTGTCGTTCTATTGTTCACCATTATGGATGCCGTTGACCCCTTTTGACCTCCGTTGACTCGCCAGGGCAAGCACTACAGCAGCAGCACAGAAGCGTGCGTGAAAGGGGAGGACTGTGGCGCATTCAGTGGGCGTTTCTATATGTTCACCAATATGAACCCCGTTGATCCCCATTGACCCCTGTTCTGTTCACTCAACAGGGCAAGCACTACAGCAGCAGCGCAGGGGCGTGCGTGCAAGGGGAGGACTGTGGCGCATTCATTCAGCTCACGTGGAGAGACACGAGGAGGGTGGGGTGTGGCGAGGTGCGTTCCTGCACGTTCCCCTTCTGCCGATCTCGCTTTTCCCCTCACACACAATGTCATTATCACTGACTGTGGCGCATTCAAGCATTCATTCAGCTTGCGTGGAAAGACACGAGGAGGGTGGGGTGTGGCGAGGTGCGTTCCTGCACGTTCCCCTTCTGCCGATCTCGCTTTTCCCCTCACACACAATGTCATTATCACTGACTGTGGCGCATTCAAGCATTCATTCAGCTTGCGTGGAAAGACACGAGGAGGGTGGGGTGTGGCGAGGTGCGTTCCTGCACGTTCCCCTTCTGCCGATCTCGCTTTTCCCCTCACACACAATGTCATTATCACTGACTGTGGCGCATTCAAGCATTCATTCAGCTTGCGTGGAAAGACACGAGGAGGGTGGGGTGTGGCGAGGTGCGTTCCTGCACGTTCCCCTTCTGCCGATCTCGCTTTTCCCCTCACACACAATGTCATTATCACTGACTGTGGCGCATTCAAGCATTCATTCAGCTTGCGTGGAAAGACACGAGGAGGGTGGGGTGTGGCGAGGTGCGTTCCTGCACGTTCCCCTTCTGCCGATCTCGCTTTTCCCCTCACACACAATGTCATTATCACTGACTGTGGCGCATTCAAGCATTCATTCAGCTGGCGTGGAAAGACACGAGGAGGGTGGGGTGTGGCGAGGTGCGTTCCTGCACGTTCCCCTTCTGCCGATCTCGCTTTTCCCCTCACACACAATGTCATTATCACTGACTGTGGCGCATTCAAGCATTCATTCAGCTTGCGTGGAAAGACACGAGGAGGGTGGGGTGTGGCGAGGTGCGTTCCTGCACGTTCCCCTTCTGCCGATCTCGCTTTTCCCCTCACACACAATGTCATTATCACTGACTGTGGCGCATTCAAGCATTCATTCAGCTTGCGTGGAAAGACACGAGGAGGGTGGGGTGTGGCGAGGTGCGTTCCTGCACGTTCCCCTTCTGCCGATCTCGCTTTTCCCCTCACACACAATGTCATTATCACTGACTGTGGCGCATTCAAGCATTCATTCAGCTTGCGTGGAAAGACACGAGGAGGGTGGGGTGTGGCGAGGTGCGTGGCTGCATGTTCCCCTTCTGCCGATCTCGCTTTCCCCCTCACACACAATGTCATTATCACTGACTGTGGCGCATTCAAGCATTCATTCAGCTTGCGTGGAACGACACGAGGAGGGTGGGGTGTGACGAGGTGCGTTCCTGCACGTTCTCTCTCTCCCTCTCTCTCTTTCCTCCTCACACACACATTCTCACTGTCACTGACTGGCGCGCATTCATTCGCACACAATGTCATTATCACTGACTGGCGCGCATTCATTCGCACACAATGTCATTATCACTGACTGGCGCGCATTCATTCGCACACAATGTCATTATCACTGACTGGCGCGCATTCATTCGCACACAATGTCATTATCACTGACTGGCGCGCATTCATTCGCACACAATGTCATTATCACTGACTGGCGCGCATTCATTCGCACACAATGTCATTATCACTGACTGGCGCGCATTCATTCGCACACAATGTCATTATCACTGACTGGCGCGCATTCATTCGCACACAATGTCATTATCACTGACTGGCGCGCATTCATTCGCACACAATGTCATTATCACTGACTGGCGCGCATTCATTCGCACACAATGTCATTATCACTGACTGGCGCGCATTCATTCGCACACAATGTCATTATCACTGACTGGCGCGCATTCATTCGCACACAATGTCATTATCACTGACTGGCGCGCATTCATTCGCACACAATGTCATTATCACTGACTGGCGCGCATTCATTCGCACACAATGTCATTATCACTGACTGGCGCGCATTCAAGCATTCATTCAGCTCGCGTGGAGAGACACGAGGGGTGTGACGAGGTGAGTTGCTGCATGCTTCCTCTCCCTCTCCCTCTTTCGTTTTTCTTCGAAGCACTGTTGCTATTACTGACTGAGACGCATTCCTTCCCTGCACCACTGCTCCCCCGGTATGCCTGCTCCCCCCCCCCCACATCACTTCCCCCTTCCGGCCCCCGACGCTTCCCCCCATCGCTCTGCTTTGCCTCCGATGCTGCGTTTCCCCAAATATCCCTCCCACCACCAGGCACTCTGTCCCTACAAGGGAAATCTCACCAGGCTGTCTCGGTTTCTCGTCTGCAACTACCACCTTCCCGCTGCTGCTCTGCTTCGCCTGTGATGCTGCTACCCCCCAACTAACCCTTCCAACAGACTCTCTGTCCCAGCAAGGCCAAATCCACCCGGGCTGCTCACTTCCTCCTCTGTATCTACCCCCCATCCGTTCTGCCATCACTCCTCATCCCCCCACCAGGCCCTCTGTCCCTACAGGGGCAATTTCACCGGGGTGGCTCAGTTTCTCGTCTGCAACTACCATCCACCTGCTACCCTTCTTTACCCTCTTCTGCTCCCATCCCTCTGCCGTCTCCCCCACCAGGCCCTCTGTCCCTACAAGGCCAATTTCACCGGGGTGGCTCAGTTTCTCGTCTGCAACTATTACCCTCCCGCTGCTGCTGTTTAGGCATTGTGGTGAGAGACTGCTACTGTTGCTCTCTTTTATGAAATTGCTGATACGCGTTACATCTGTAAAACCTCAAAATTTACTCCAATACAGCAGGCTGTCTTGTCCGCTACGTTATGCTTTTGTACTGTAAATTACATGCACCGCTGTGGCAATGCTGTACTTGTTACGTGGGTATGCGAAGATGGGTATGCGAAGATGGGTATGCGAAGATGGGTATGCGAAGATGGGTATGCGAAGATGGGTATGCGAAGATGGGTATGCGAAGATGGGTATGCGAAGATGGGTATGCGAAGATGGGTATGCGAAGATGGGTATGCGAAGATGGGTATGCGAAGATGGGTATGCGAAGATGGGTATGCGAAGATGGGTATGCGAAGATGGGTATGCGAAGATGGGTATGCGAAGATGGGTATGCGAAGATGGGTATGCGAAGATGGGTATGCGAAGATGGGTATGCGAAGATGGGTATGCGAAGATGGGTATGCGAAGATGGGTATGCGAAGATGGGTATGCGAAGATGGGTATGCGAAGATGGGTATGCGAAGATGGGTATGCGAAGATGGGTATGCGAAGATGGGTATGCGAAGATGGGTATGCGAAGATGGGTATGCCAGTATTCCTCCCAATAGCCATGTCTTGACAGAGACAAAGTCAGAGCTCCACCAGACCCCAACTCCATAACTCATAAAGCTGAGGATAGGAATAGAGGAAAGATATGGTCAGGGCTCTAGATATAGGGGCCCCAAGCACGAAGCCCATGGTTTGGTATCAAGAAGCAGAAAAATACAATTGGAGAAGTGGGGTATCGATCCCCATACCTCTCGCATGCTAAGCGAGCGCTCTACCATCTGAGCTACATCCCCGTGCTGGCTATGAGGCAATATCTTTATTCATTGTTTTTGTGCACCGTTCATGGTCATTCCCTATTTCATGTTTGCTGGCCAATGCTCACACAACCCTTTTCGTTAACAGGTCGTGTACTCCAATTCAGATGATTCCCTTCAATCTATTTCTCACTCCCATTCCTCCCCTCCCTTCTCTCCATCGCCTTAGCCACCTGCTGTGCTGCCTTGACTCCGCACATCCTTTCCTCCCCTACAGTGTACCACATGAATCCTTCATTCCAGCACCCTTTGCTTGACTCCGCACATCCTTTCCTCCCCTACAGTGTACCACATGAATCCTTCATTCCAGCACCCTTTGCTTGACTCCGCACATCCTTTCCTCCCCTACAGTGTACCACATGAATCCTTCATTCCAGCACCCTTTACTTGACTCCGCACGTCCTTTCCTCCCCTACAGTGTACCACGTGAATCCTTCATTCCAGAACCCTTTGCTTGACTCCACACATCCTTTCATCCCCTCGCCTCCCCACCTGCTGTGCTGTTTTCACTCTATCATGTACCACCTAATTTCCCTTACGCCGCTTCACCCTGCCTTCCTCCCTTCCCCTCCCCCCACTGCCTTAACCACCTGCTGTGCCACCTTCACGCGGTATTTTGTCTCGGGCCTAAGGCAAATCTTGAGCAGATGCACTACCTCCTGATGGGGGAAGATGAAGAGGAGGAAAATGGGGCAACGGGAGCTGTATCCTCTTCACTCTATACTCTGCCTCGGGCCTTCCACAGATGTTGTGCAGAGGCACCACCTCCTGATGGGGGGAAGGAGGAAGGACAGGAGGGGTGGACGGGAAGGGGGTTGACCTCCACTTCATCATCCAGTATCGTACACCAGAAATGATTTCTACTATGTTTTCGCCTGGCACCATATTTAAACAAGGAGAATGGCTCAACGATTCTAAGGTGTTGTGTTGATGTTCAATAAGCTCCAGTTGGCTCATAGGGCGAGCGAGTGTGATTACTTGTTGCAAGTTCGATTGTATGCACATATCACAATCAATGCATGCTTTCTCATTGGGTATGACCTTTTATCATAACATGCTGAACCAGAAACATGCTGAACCAGAAACATGCTGAGCCAGAAACATGCTGAGCCAGAAACATGCTGAGCCAGAAACATGCTGAGCCAGAAACATGCTGAGCCAGAAACATGCTGAGCCAGAAACATGCTGAGCCAGAAACATGCTGAGCCAGAAACATGCTGAGCCAGAAACATGCTGAGCCAGAAACATGCTGAGCCAGAAACATGCTGAGCCAGAAACATGCTGAGCCAGAAACATGCTGAGCCAGAAACATGCTGAGCCAGAAACATGCTGAGCCAGAAACATGCTGAGCCAGAAACATGCTGAGCCAGAAACATGCTGAGCCAGAAACATGCTGAGCCAGAAACATGCTGAGCCAGAAACATGCTGAGCCAGAAACATGCTGAGCCAGAAACATGCTGAGCCAGAAACATGCTGGAAGATGTGGTGAGGTTCATTTCCAAGGGGGCAAAAACAAAATCATTCAATGGAAACGGGGTATCGATCCCCATACCTCTCGCATGCTAAGTGAGCGCTCTACCATCTGAGCTACATCCCCATGCTGAGAAAGCGATGTATTGATTTATGTGGACCCCCATTTACCCCTGTTGACCCTTTTTGACCACCACTGACCCCCGTTGACTCACGAGGGAAAGCACTACAGCAGCAGCACAGGGGCGTGCGTGCAAGGGGAGGACTGTGGCGCATTCAGTGCTTATCTTTCAAATGTTCACCAATGTGAATTCCGTTGAAGCCCGTTGACCTCCGTTGACCGCTGTTGACTTCTGTTTTCTTGGAAGGGCAAGCATTACAGAAGCAGCACAGAGGCATGCGTGGAAGGGGAGGACATAGCGCATTCAGTTTTTGTCTTTCAAACTTTCACCAATATGAACGCCGTTGACCTCTGTTGACTCCCATCAACCCCTGTTGAGTTTTGTTCACTCAACAGGGCAAGCACTACAGCAGCAGCAGCACAGAGGCATGTGTGCAAGGGCAGACTTGCGGCGCAATTAGTGGGTGTCGTTCTATTGTTCACCATTATGGATGCCGTTGACCCCTTTTGACCTCCGTTGACTCGCCAGGGCAAGCACTACAGCAGCAGCACAGAAGCGTGCGTGAAAGGGGAGGACTGTGGCGCATTCAGTGGGCGTTTCTATATGTTCACCAATATGAACCCCGTTGATCCCCATTGACCCCTGTTCTGTTCACTCAACAGGGCAAGCACTACAGCAGCAGCGCAGGGGCGTGCGTGCAAGGGGAGGACTGTGGCGCATTCATTCAGCTCACGTGGAGAGACACGAGGAGGGTGGGGTGTGGCGAGGTGCGTTCCTGCACGTTCCCCTTCTGCCGATCTCGCTTTTCCCCTCACACACAATGTCATTATCACTGACTGTGGCGCATTCAAGCATTCATTCAGCTTGCGTGGAAAGACACGAGGAGGGTGGGGTGTGGCGAGGTGCGTTCCTGCACGTTCCCCTTCTGCCGATCTCGCTTTTCCCCTCACACACAATGTCATTATCACTGACTGTGGCGCATTCAAGCATTCATTCAGCTTGCGTGGAAAGACACGAGGAGGGTGGGGTGTGGCGAGGTGCGTTCCTGCACGTTCCCCTTCTGCCGATCTCGCTTTTCCCCTCACACACAATGTCATTATCACTGACTGTGGCGCATTCAAGCATTCATTCAGCTTGCGTGGAAAGACACGAGGAGGGTGGGGTGTGGCGAGGTGCGTTCCTGCACGTTCCCCTTCTGCCGATCTCGCTTTTCCCCTCACACACAATGTCATTATCACTGACTGTGGCGCATTCAAGCATTCATTCAGCTTGCGTGGAAAGACACGAGGAGGGTGGGGTGTGGCGAGGTGCGTTCCTGCACGTTCCCCTTCTGCCGATCTCGCTTTTCCCCTCACACACAATGTCATTATCACTGACTGTGGCGCATTCAAGCATTCATTCAGCTTGCGTGGAAAGACACGAGGAGGGTGGGGTGTGGCGAGGTGCGTTCCTGCACGTTCCCCTTCTGCCGATCTCGCTTTTCCCCTCACACACAATGTCATTATCACTGACTGTGGCGCATTCAAGCATTCATTCAGCTGGCGTGGAAAGACACGAGGAGGGTGGGGTGTGGCGAGGTGCGTTCCTGCACGTTCCCCTTCTGCCGATCTCGCTTTTCCCCTCACACACAATGTCATTATCACTGACTGTGGCGCATTCAAGCATTCATTCAGCTTGCGTGGAAAGACACGAGGAGGGTGGGGTGTGGCGAGGTGCGTTCCTGCACGTTCCCCTTCTGCCGATCTCGCTTTTCCCCTCACACACAATGTCATTATCACTGACTGTGGCGCATTCAAGCATTCATTCAGCTTGCGTGGAAAGACACGAGGAGGGTGGGGTGTGGCGAGGTGCGTTCCTGCACGTTCCCCTTCTGCCGATCTCGCTTTTCCCCTCACACACAATGTCATTATCACTGACTGTGGCGCATTCAAGCATTCATTCAGCTTGCGTGGAAAGACACGAGGAGGGTGGGGTGTGGCGAGGTGCGTGGCTGCATGTTCCCCTTCTGCCGATCTCGCTTTCCCCCTCACACACAATGTCATTATCACTGACTGTAGCGCATTCAAGCATTCATTCAGCTTGCGTGGAACGACACGAGGAGGGTGGGGTGTGACGAGGTGCGTTCCTGCACGTTCTCTCTCTCCCTCTCTCTCTTTCCTCCTCACACACACATTCTCACTGTCACTGACTGGCGCGCATTCATTCACACACAATGTCATTATCACTGACTGGCGCGCATTCATTCGCACACAATGTCATTATCACTGACTGGCGCGCATTCATTCGCACACAATGTCATTATCACTGACTGGCGCGCATTCATTCGCACACAATGTCATTATCACTGACTGGCGCGCATTCATTCGCACACAATGTCATTATCACTGACTGGCGCGCATTCATTCGCACACAATGTCATTATCACTGACTGGCGCGCATTCATTCGCACACAATGTCATTATCACTGACTGGCGCGCATTCATTCGCACACAATGTCATTATCACTGACTGGCGCGCATTCATTCGCACACAATGTCATTATCACTGACTGGCGCGCATTCATTCGCACACAATGTCATTATCACTGACTGGCGCGCATTCATTCGCACACAATGTCATTATCACTGACTGGCGCGCATTCATTCGCACACAATGTCATTATCACTGACTGGCGCGCATTCATTCGCACACAATGTCATTATCACTGACTGGCGCGCATTCATTCGCACACAATGTCATTATCACTGACTGGCGCGCATTCATTCGCACACAATGTCATTATCACTGACTGGCGCGCATTCATTCGCACACAATGTCATTATCACTGACTGGCGCGCATTCATTCGCACACAATGTCATTATCACTGACTGGCGCGCATTCATTCGCACACAATGTCATTATCACTGACTGGCGCGCATTCATTCGCACACAATGTCATTATCACTGACTGGCGCGCATTCATTCGCACACAATGTCATTATCACTGACTGGCGCGCATTCATTCGCACACAATGTCATTATCACTGACTGGCGCGCATTCATTCGCACACAATGTCATTATCACTGACTGGCGCGCATTCATTCGCACACAATGTCATTATCACTGACTGGCGCGCATTCATTCGCACACAATGTCATTATCACTGACTGGCGCGCATTCATTCGTACACAATGTCATTATCACTGACTGGCGCGCATTCATTCGCACACAATGTCATTATCACTGACTGGCGCGCATTCATTCGCACACAATGTCATTATCACTGACTGGCGCGCATTCATTCGCACACAATGTCATTATCACTGACTGGCGCGCATTCATTCGCACACAATGTCATTATCACTGACTGGCGCGCATTCATTCGCACACAATGTCATTATCACTGACTGGCGCGCATTCATTCGCACACAATGTCATTATCACTGACTGGCGCGCATTCATTCGCACACAATGTCATTATCACTGACTGGGCGCCCTGACGAGGCCCCTGCCGGCGCCCTATCGCGGCCCCTGACGCGCCCCCTGGTGGCGCCCTGACGCGGCCCCTGGCGGCGCCTGACGCGGCCCTGACGCGGCCTGACGCGGCCCCTGGCGGCGCCCTGACGCGGCCCCTGCCGCGGCCCCTGACGCGGCCCCTGCCGCGGCCCCTGACGCGGCCCCTGACGCGGCCCCTGTCGCGGCCCCTGACGCGGCCCCGCCACCTACCTTTCCGGCCCCGCCGCCTCCTCTCAGCGGCCCCGCCGCCTCCTCTCAGCGGCCCCGCCGCCTCCTCCCAGCGGCCCCGGACGCCGCCCTCTCAGCGGCCCCGCCGAGCCGCCCAGCAGCTGAGCCACCGAGCCGCCCAGCAGCCGAGCCGCCGAGCCGCCCAGCAGCCGAGCCGCCCAGCAGCAGAGCCGCCGAGCCGCCCAGCAGCCGAGCCGCTGAGCCGCCCAGCAGCCGAGCCGCCGAGCCGCCCAGCAGCCGAGCCGCCCAGCAGCCGAGTCGCCGAGCCGCCCTGCAGCCGAGCCGCCCGAGCCGCCCTGTCCGGTAAGAGCAGCGCCTCTCTCACAGCACTGCCCTCACCCCACTGTTTGCGCTGCTAGTCTACTGCTGTCATGGCTACCCCTAGTGTCCTCGCTTTTGACGCTGAGGGTCGGGCCATTGACTTTGACGTCTGGATAGATGACCTGCAGCTTTTCTTACAGTGCGATAGGGCAGACGGCCTCTCCTGAGAAGAGTAGAACGAGAATGGATGAACTATGAATGAAGTGAGTACATATGGGAAACCCTAATTGGGTTGTACCCCCTATGGGATACCCCACTATAGCCTACACAACAGCATAAGCTATATATATGTTCTGACACACCCCCATAGGCAAAGTGGGGGAGAACAAGGGGTCACAAGACCAGTCAAGCAAAGCAGAGCAAGCTCAGGGTGGATCACAAAGTCACCACACAGTCCGAGCACAACGACAGGGCAACAGGGCCAGTTCACATGCAGGAGTACACATATATATATAGAGCTAGACAAGCAAGAGCAGGAATATATATGTGACAGTACAAGCAAGGTCAAGAAGAGAGCAAGTGAGGCAAGACAGGTACAAGACCCAGCTGGGTGCAGAAGCGCTGATGGTCACAAGGCGCAAGTGCCTTGGTGAACACATCAGCAGTGTTGGCCTCAGAGGCCACGTACGCAAGTCGCAACTGACCACGCTGCTGCAGCTCACGAGCAAGAAAGTAACGGAGAGCAATGTGCTTCGTTCTGTGCTCCAAGCGCTGCTCTCGACACAAGGCCAGCATGGCCTTGTTGTCTACGTACAACACTGGAGGAGAACGAGGCGGCTCTCCAAGGTCAGTCAGCAGGTAGGTGAGCCAGCGAAGCTCCTGTGCAGCCATGGCCCCGGCGTAGATCTCAGCCTCACAACTGGAGCTGAGAACAGAGGACGAGCGAGTAGCCCGCCACGAGACAGAGCCGGAACCAAGACTGAAGGTGTAACCCTGCGACGACCGCTGTGTAGCCTGGTCGTCTGCCCAAGAAGCGTCCGCGTGCCCAGTGAGGACCACTGGACTCCGCCCTCCAAGCACTAGCCCCATGCCCGACGTACTGCACAAGTAGCGCAACACCCTCTTCGCTGCAGCCATGTGCTCTGGTCGGTGTCTCCCAGGAGCAACATAGCGTGAAAGAATGCTAAGAGGGTATGCAAGGTCAGGTCGTGTGCAGGTCATCAGGTACATGAGGCAGCCAACAAGCTCTGGGTACGGGCCACTCGACTCTACGGACTCATCCGAAGGCAGAGCTGAGAGCGAGTGGCGAGTAGACAGAGGAGTGGCCTGAGGCGAGGAGTACGTGAAGCCGAAGCGCTGAAGGACCTGCTGCACCATGTGTGACTGAGTCAAGGTAATGGTGCGGCGTGCTCTGTCCCGAGTGATCTGCAAGCCAAGGTAGCTGCGCAGTTCACCCAGGTCTGTGCACATGTGTCTCTTCTGCAGCTCGGACTTCACGTAGGCTAGTCCAGCAGTGTCAGCTGTGGCAAAGACCAAGTCGTCGACGTACACGAGGACGTAGAACGGCGGCAAAGAAGTGTCGGTGCGCAGAAACAACGACGGGTCAGCAGTAGAGGGAGCAAACCCAAGAGCCGCAAGCGTAGTCCTCAGTGTGTCGTGCCACTCACGCGGTGCCTGGCGGAGACCGTAGACTGGCCGTCGGAGGCTCCACTGGGTGCCAGGAGGAAAAGTCCCAGTGAAGCCAGGTGGACGGCGCAGCCAGATCTCCTCGTGCAGGCTACCCTGCAAGAAAGCAGTACTGAAGTCAAGAGAGTGGAGCTCGTAGTCGCGCTGAGCGGCTATGTGCAGCAGCACCCGAAGAGTGGTCATCTTCGGGGTGGGAGAGAAGGTCTGAAAGTAGTCAACTCCCTGCCGCTGACTGAAGCCACGAGCGACGTACCGCGCCTTGAAGACAGGTGGAGAGCCCGGCGGCCGCTTCACCCTGAAGATCCACATGCCACTGACGATGTTCGCCCCAGGAGGGGGAACCGCGTCAACGTAGGTGCCTGTGGACTTCCAGGACGCCATCTCTGCATCCATAGCTGCCTGCCACTGAGAGGAGTAGGGACCCTCTACGGCCTCCGCGTAAGAGCGCGGAGTCGGGATGTCTAGTGCATCCGGGTCTCCCTCAGGGGCAAGTAGTACGGACGCGAGATGAGGTGAAGCAGCAGCCAGACACCTGAACTCCTCCTGCCTGTCCTCAAGGACGTCCGTGCCAAGAGCACACTCACCCCCGACGGACGGAGGACAGACAGACGCAGACTCAGCAACAAGACCGGCAGCGTAGTCTAGACGACAGCGAGCAGCAAAGTCGACGAGCTCAGCAACAAGCGCAGACGCAGCAGTGGACTCAAAAGAGGGGTCAGTGACGACAGTAGCAAGGAGACGTGTGACAGCAGGACTGGCAGCACGAAGAGAGTCCGACTCCGGGTCAGGAAGAGCAGAAAGAGAGGACTCAGGAGGAGAAGGCAAAGGGGCACGCAGAGGAGCAGTGGACGGACGCAGAGACATCCGGTGCGTGCCAGGGACAGGAGGAGGACGCTGACGCGAACCACGACCACTAGTGCGAGCAGCACGGACAGGCGACGCAGGGCGAGACGCAGGCTCACGACGCTCAGCAAGACCTCCAGTAGGACCAGTGTAGGGAGAAGGAGCGGGCAGTGGGGAGGCCGGCTGTAACTGTAACTGTGACAGGACAGGCTGTGGACACTCTAAGGGAGGAGGAGGACCAGTAGAAGGCGGGAGACCAAGAACCTGCTGAAGGAGCGGAACGAAGTACGGTCTAGGCCGCGCGGCGACTCCAGACACAGCAGGGACAGCACCAGTACCCCCAGCGGCAGCACCAGCGCCAGTAGCACCTCCAGCAGCACCAGTAGCACCCCCAGCAGGACCGCCTCCAGGACCGACAGCAGTAGCCTCAGCGCCAACGCCCTCAGCAGCTCCAGCTCCAGCACCTCCGGGACCCGCGGCACCAGCACCCTCAGTAGCCGAAGAACCTCCAGCTCCAGCAGCACGCCTCCAGCGCCGGGCAAACCACTCGCGCAGCTCCTGTGGAGAGAGGGGCTCCCGCCGAGGCGAAGCACCCGGA